TAAATGCATAGTTATTGTTTAAGCAGTAGCGAGTCCATGGCCAACAGTTCTCCGGGCAAATAGTCGAATGTAGCGTACGCGGCGCCCCCACGTGCAAGTGGGCGCGCGACATCCGACCTGCTCGCATCAATTGCCTCGCACCTTGAACTCATTGCTAAATCAATCTTCTGCCTACGGATACGTGCTTAACATGGGACAATTTGCAATAATCATACAATACACTTATTTTTCATTGCTTGATAACGAGAGAAAGTTGTCTGTTGCCAGTTGTATCAGGATCAGTAAGTACGGACAGAAAGTATATCAGGTGCATGCGTACTCCCTCATGTGTGACCCACGGGTCGGCAACCACTCGCTGCAATTGCCGCAATGGATGCGTGACCCCGCCCTCACAATTATCTCCGTCGCCTCTGATTTACAAATTGATTGAACGAAAATTCTCATGCAGAGTCAACCTGAGATAAATTACAAAGTACAAGAAACGTAATTTAATACCGTACAAACTGTAATAGAAATTAGTTTACGACGTCATTTGTAGATGCGATAAAAACGCCATTAGCTATGAACTCTGGTGATCTCCGAAGTGGCGCGATGCTGCGCCTTACAGAGAGTCGTATGATTGACACAACGGACGGACAATTCGCTTTATAATAACGATCGCATTACACTTTCATATCGCCGCGTCCCGCACTGCGCCTTTCTAACGGCAACGTCTTACCATCGCTCCGGACAATACCTCTTCATAGTTGCACTTCGAGATCCAATTCCACTTAGCGTCCATCTCTATGTCACATTTTTTTGTATAGAACATATTATACTCCACACGAATAACACTAATGACTCGCTCCATGTTCACTGACGAGGCTTGCTATTGTCAATTGGACAGATTTCGGTCATAATGACATTTAGATGGTTCGAACATTTCAACGTTATTACGCCGAGATCTTATAACAAGCTCAAAGAGCGGAAGAGCTAATATCAGCCGATTTCTTGCTTTATAATAGTCTGCATTAAATATACAACATTGCGGACGGTGAAGTTTTACCATAGAAAGTTTCATAAAGCAATTGCTAAGCCGATATCTCGTGAAAGTGTCTCGAATTATTGCATCGAGCAAGACTTTCCTTGCAGGGGAGGTAATCGATACTCATCTAGCTTTCAATTGTATGTTCTGTGCCGGACTTGTCATGTCGCATGTCGCATGTCGGTTCACGACCGGTTCGATTCCGCGCCGCAGACATTACGACCGCAGATATTGATACGTTTGTTGTCCATTCACATTCCACTTGTAAAAGTGAACTATCAGAAACCAGCTTTTATTATACTTACGGAATCGCCAAGAATCCACAATTTAAATTGCCAGCTTTAATGATCTTAACACGCAAAGCATTAAATTAATATGAAACTGCATTTTAATTAGATCCTAAATCTACAGAATCGAGGTTATTTAAAATTCGTTTTATGAGTCATCAAAGACAACTCAAATGTTTGGCAAAACGACACGAGAGTGACAAATACAAGATAATAGACAGACGGACGGAGACAGATTATTACTCGTATTATTGCTTTTACAATTTTTAATTGTCCAATATTTAATTTTTGAGAGTATTTGTATTCACGAAGAATTTAATTGTTAACTGGTACAGTAACAATTTGTTAAATCTGATCACTTTGTTATTCCAAATGAAACAAAATTTCTTCAACTAGTTTTCATGACGTCCACTAATACAGTTTAATCGATGTTGTAACATAGCTCTGCTTCACTGTAACCATATTTTTGTTCAGATAATAAGCATGTGTATATTTGGGAGTGCTCTCAGAGGTCGGAGTCTCGGAGCTCGAGTGCGATTGCCTCTCTCAATTCGATGGCTCTTACGCAACCGGCTTTTGATCGCGGCCGCCAACAAACCGGAGACTGTGGATTTTTGTTCACAATCGCTCGCTTTGATCCGTCGCTGACAATATGTGGGTCAAGTTCACCTCGGTATCTCGTCTCATAAATTTAGAACTTACGTCATTTTATAAACATTTATATGTTAATTTAAAACGGTTTCAAGTTTAGGTCAGTGCGTGTTTTATTGAGGAAATTACTTTCAATTAATAATATGCTTTATCGAAGACATAACAACGATCAATATCTTTTTATCTTATCTTTACTTCTATATTTATAAAAATAGTAATCATTGTTACTATGTTCTATTCGTGCCTGAACAAATAGACTGGCTCGAAAATAGGACGTTCTGGGGACTCTAGTTACGTACGTAATTAAAAGATTAGTTAGTAACAAATAATTTGCGATAATCAAAATTCGATCTCCCGTAGTTGTGTAGCAAATTGATTCTATCGGAAGCTGTCAGTTTTGGGTCTAGATAATGATCTTCGACACGCGAAATGAGTTTCTCTGGCTGCAGTAATTGACGTCCATCATTATGGCCAACAAACGGCAACCTCGCCGGCCTATTGTTCTCACCTCACCCCGTCCCGCGCGCCTCTCCCCTCGCCAACCACTCTCGGCTCGCTGTGAGGTTTCTTTCACGTTCAGGTTTTAAATCATTTCCTAGATCTCTACTCGCGATATATCATTTAAAATAAAAGTCTGCGCGCTCTGGCGGTCTACTCTACAAATTATAATGATAACGTCCTTGTCGGCGCAGCGGCCCGCGCCCCGCGCCCCGCGCTCTTGACACAAGTGTCGCTGCACAGACACAAACAGCATGTAGATATGTTGAAATATTAGTCACCAATGACCTTCCTATAACTACGTACTTTCTATTCCATTATACTTGAAACTGGTCTGTTTGCAAATTGATTGCATCATTCTTTAATTATACTTATTCATGTAATTGTAACTAATTTCCTTCTAAAATTTCATTTGTACAAAATGAAATACAAACGTATTTTTCACATTAAATGCTATGTGCTATAAATAATTTTCCGCTATGAATATTTCAATTGGACACTCGCAACTCGAGTTGATATTTTCATATGTGTATTCAGTATCGCTGAGTCAGAATTGCAAATCTGATAATTCGGTCGTTGAAGCCAAAAAATAGTACATGACCTCGTGATGATGCGAGTCACGTCCAGTACGTCTCTGCGGTCTGTTGACTCACGCGCCTCATACGCCTCATGCGCCTCACACTTTTACATAAAAAGTTTCTATTGGATTCCCGTACATCTATTTCCTAACCGGAATAAACGAAAGGACATGTATGTATGTTAATAACCATGCGACTTTGATAATAAATAATTTATTTGTACATATTTTCACATAGAATATGCATAATCATAACAGTGGTTATGCAAACAGAATACAAATATCAAGATTTGATTTGAATATAATGTTTGCCGCTAGGGGGCGCAGAAAGTGGAGCAGAGCCGAGGTGCACTTAGTGCAGTGAGTGCAGCATTGCGGAGTGACCTGGTGCTGGGCGGGTCAGGGGATCAATGCTCGGCCGCCGACCCCGACACAGGCTTACTCCGCAACCCCTTGCCCTCTCTAACTGCAACGGCCGTATAGACTTCAAATTATTTTTTTCGAGAATATGCTCATTGCCGCAAACGTTTTACATTCAAACTGTGTAAATATGAATATCGCGTCGCGTAATAATTCATCTGCTTTTGGGATCTGTGTCAATACGTTATTTGTGCTTACTTGATATTGAACGTTTCCTGATCAGACACTTGCTAAATATGTGTCCTAAAGCACTGTATGATATTGAACAGCTCCAACAACTACGTTACTTGATTAAAATTTACCGGTGCGTTGATATAATTAACTGTATTTATGAATACGTAATTATGTAGAGAACAGTAGACAACGGTGACTGAGTCACCGCATTGAAGCGGGCGGAGGTGAGGGCGGTGGGGGCGGGGCGGGAATTATGTCATCGACTGATGTTTTATTTAAACCACGTGCCATAAATTACAACTTAATTATGAGCAGTACTTTTAAAGCGACACGGTCATTGCCGATGTAGATAGCTTTTTTATACACGCACGTTACCGACTGTAACATTTATCCTGAATTTGTACTCGGATATGGAAAGTGTAAGATGCAAGAACTTGCTCAATGAAAAAGTTAAAAGGACTTGTATGAAGTATGTGATCATATAATTCTAGAAAGGAGTTCGACAGTCGCGATGTGTGTCTTTGATGTTGGTTGGCTTACGTTCAATAATCGTCGACTTACAACGTGTAAAGTCCGGCGACAATCGGCAGTGCGGTGCAGTATCAGGGGGTATGTCGGCGGCAGACAGCGCGGCAGCAGCGGGCAGCAAGCAATAAGGAGCGAGGTCGTCGACCCGGAACCCGCGCCATTTGCCAAGCTGTGCCTCTGTTTGCTCAAACCTCATTTAAAGTTACTACTTTTTGTAGCCACTTTTTATCTTGATCATTTTAGAGGACTTTTATAACGGTATGTCAGGCATGTTATGTCAACAAGCTGTTTTAAATGTCTATAGCTTTAGTGATTAAACGAAGAAGCATACATGCATTTAACCCATTAAAAATATTGGCCAGTCAAACTTTACTACTCTCTAAATATCTGCATATTCGATCAAAAATATGTAAAAGTGTATAGTCCCCGAATCATTGTTCCTTTGTCTCGGTTCCATAATTATGCGTGATTTATGCAAAACATGTTTTGTTCAAACGTGAAAACTGTTATTAAGTAAACCGTTGTTAAGTAAACGCAATAAACGCAGGCGAAGCTGAATGGTATAGAACAACAACCGGCGCATATAGCAGTAATAAATGCATACCGCAATTTTCTACATGTCTCTATTTTTGCAGTAGCGCGGAGGCGAAAGTTCTTTACTACTCGTATTTATGGAAACTATACAACATATGTAACTCACGCCCGTAACCAACACTGGGTAGGCAGAGTTTGTGAATCATCATCATCATCATCATCTCAATTGTCCTTTATGTCTTGCCTCTGTGTATACAGAGGGATGTTGTGTATGCGTGTGATAACATGTTTGCTTGTCTGTTTTCAGGCAAGGTTGTGTGCGGCGCGTGCGGCGGCAAGTGCAGCGGCGAGGTGCTGCGCGTCACCGACAAGTACTTCCACACGGCGTGCTTCACGTGCCGCGCATGTTCCGCCTCGCTCGCACGCGGCGGCTTCTTCTGCAAAGACGGACACTACTACTGCCCACAGGTACACTGCGACAAATGTCACTGACGGCTCATCTGACTTTACTCACCAATTGACTACTACCTAATACTAATGATTTCCTCAGCATAATACCAATACTCATCAATATAGTTATTTTCGTTAAATTGTTCACCGCAAGTTGTGCAACTTGTGTCATAAATAAACAGACTTTTAGATTATAATCCACGCGCATTAACGAGTTGGCAGTCTACAGTGAGGATGAGACTTGTAAATAATGCTAAGCTCATTTCAGTATCGTGTCGTATGTTTAATAGCAGTATAATGTGTGTTCGCAGGACTACCAGCGCGCGTTCGGCACGCGGTGCGCGGCGTGCGGCCAGTACGTGGAGGGCGAGGTGGTCAGCGCGCTCGGCAACACCTACCACCAGAAATGCTTCACATGCGCGCGCTGCAAGTCCGTATCCACTACTCTCTAAAGATTTCAGTATTGATGAGATATTCTTGGCACATTTCGATGTCGATGTTTTTGTCGACCACTACATTAAGACGGCGCAGGTCATTCGTCTACTTGTTTTTGTCGCCGCTATGTATAAGTCTAATAATAAAGTAATATTCGAAGTCATGTTCCGCTTAACATATGTCGTCTGGAAAATATTCGGGCTGGAAATGGCCTGCTCTATTTTCATACGCAATTATTGAGAGTCCCTCGTGTGGTGTTCCAGACGCGCGTTCCCGTCGGGCGAGAAGGTGACATACACGGGGTCGGAGGTGATCTGCGGCGGGTGCGCGGCGCCGCAGCGGCACACGGCGCGCGCCGCCGCCTCCCCCGCCTCCCCCACCACACCGGCCTCCCCCGGCTCCCCCGGCTCCCCCGCCTCGCCGCGCTCCCCCGGCTCGCCCGCATCCCCCGACAGAGATGACGTCGACCAGCGCCAGCCGGACCCCAATGGTGAGCTCTACGCAGTACACATTGCCGACGGATTTATTACGTTTTCGAGGATCAAATAGGAATACTTTAGCGTTATTGTCAATACTCAAGTTACATGATGATGGATGTTGAAATGTATTTGTATGAAGTATATGATTAGTGTTGTCCGCCGAGCGCTCGCGCCATCCGGCCCGGCAATTGGCGGGGGGCGCGCGCGCATTGTGCGGCACGCTACGAGTACACACTTCACATAATTGTCCACTTTGTATGTATGTATGCATGTATGTATGTATGTATGACGAATAGATATCGATAAAGTGTTGACGATCAGACGAAACGTCAAGTTGTGGTATCTCGCCGTTCAGGGCATATTCGTGTTGATCTGTGGGGCTATATTTGTAAAATGGTTAGTTTGAAGCTGTGTGCTATCTAAGTCAGCTAAGTTGCGCGGCGGCTTGTGTTGCAGACTGCGCGGGCTGCGGTCAGGAGCTGTCGGAGGGGCAGGCGCTGGTCGCACTCGACAGGTCAGCTTAACTCATATTATCGCTAGATTTATGTTAATGTTCATCATTCCTCTTGCAGAGACATTTTCTATTTAAATGTGTAAATTACGAAAAATTGGATTATATGTATTTAATATGCTTTGATTGGTATGTAAATTTAATTGACCTTGTGCGCTATAAATGGATTAAGTGACGTGTGTGTCGTGTCGTGTCGCCGCACACGATACGATGACCAATTGTCCGACTAATTGATGGCACTTTGGGCCAAGCGATTTGTTTACATGCTATCGATTGTCTGTTAACATGGTCGATTACCAAAAAAAAAACTATTGTTGCTTGTATCACTACATAGAAACATTTTTAAATAAATTAAATTACAATTTCAAACTCATAAATGTCTAAGCAAGTTTTTCTAACACTACAATAAAACTGTAGACTTGCGCTAGGACATGGCGACAATAGTGCGATGGCGGTATGTCGGCCGCCGGTGGTCAGTTGTGGTCAGTGGTGGTCAGT